AACAAATAATTCTTGTAAAAATTATTTTTCATCGAAAACGTTTTTTTGCTTTCAGAAAATATTCGTAGTCATACAAATAAGTAAAAGCAATTAAAAGTTTTTGAAATTAAATAATATCTTTGTTTTTTATTAGTTTTGTATGTTACAATTCAACTGGTTTCAGCTCAAAAAAAAAAAAAAAGATGATTTCCTCAAATTTTTTTTGCTTTTAATTATTTACAACATTATAAATCATTGGGAACAAATTAAAATTTAATGAGTTTTTCTTTTCAAAAAATTAATTAAATGTCTTGGTAATAAAATATATATATAAAAAAAAATTACCATGATTTTAAAAAAAATTAAACATATTTATAATAAATTCAATCATTTTTTGAATAGTTTTAAAAAAGTTTCATGAAAATCCGGAATAATTTTTTTTTATTTTTGCAAGATTTTTTAAAATTAATGACTGCCATTACAAAAAAAATACACAAAAAATTCGCCATGTTATTTAAGTCGGACATTTTTGAATTGAGAAACGAGATTTTTCAATCGAAATTTTAAAAATGCTCTAATAAAAACAGAAAAATTTTTTAAAAAATAATTAAAAAATTACTTTGTTCTATTTCCTCTTAAAAAAAAAATATAAACATTTTGACGATAAAATTTTTGTTTTCAATAAGTTTAAGGCCTTTATTTCAACACTATGCTCATTTTCCGGCGATAAATTGCCCATACCTAGAACAATTTATATCGGTCTATCTATCTATATATCTATCTGTTGGTCTATCTATCTGTTTATTTAAATGATAAGGAAAACCAATCCTTCTCTTTCATACAATTAATTTATATTGGTTTGTTTGCCTATTTATTTATCTATCGATAGATCGATGTCTGTCCTTTTCACATATATATTGATTTTCTACAGGTTAACACTGAGAAATTTATCATATATATATTATACAACTTGTAGGTTAGCTGGTTATCTATCAATATGTCGGTGTTTATTTAAAAATTACCTCCCGATTCTCTCTCTCTCTCTCTTTTTTCTCTCTCGACCCTTTAATTTAAACTCTTACTGCTCATTCCTAAAAATTTTCCCTTTTTTTTTTCTCCTTGTTATCTCATGAAATCTATCTAACTCTCTCTATCCATCTGTTGTTCTATCGGTTTATTTAAAAAAAAAAAAATATTCCCCCTCTCTCTTCTTCAAAAACGACTCTTTTTTCCTCCCTTCTCTACTTCCCTCTCTTGTTATCTCATTAACGTCTTTCAGCTATTTTTTTGATTTTCATGGTTATTCCCGTCCAATAAAAGGTCTTCCGCTATAAAAAAATTTATTCAAGTCAATTATTTTTCTCTCAAGAAAATTTTTCTTCTTCTTTAATTCCTACCCTTTAATTCCTAGTAAAATGCTTTCAAAAATTTGTTGTCTCATGTAACGCCCTTCAGTCCTGGTAGGGTGTGGTTATTCCCGTCCAATAAAAGGCCTTCCCCTCCTATGACGTCACAGTCCCTCAACTCCAATCAGAATTTTCCCATTGTTTTCCAAATAATCGAACGTTCCGAAATGGTTTCATGAAAACAACAAAAAATTCTGGTCTCCCTTTTTTTTTTTTTATTGGATTTTCTTTGTTTTTTAACCAAATTCATATTGAGAAAAAAAAAACGTTTTTTCTCTATTCATAAAATGAGATTGAAATGTTTTCTTTGCTTTCTTCTTTCTTTATTTCGCTTGGACACAATTTGGAATATTTATTTTATTTTTAAAATTGCATTTTTTTTTCGGTAAAATTGCATAAGGAAACCAATAGGAATGAAAAATTACGTTCTGGTGGGAAATTGCTTGATTAATTTTCAAATGACGTTGATAAAGAAAACATCATTTTTTTTATCCTTTCAAATACGTCCGCTTTTTCATCCTTGTGAAAAACACATTGTTTTGGAAATTCTTGTAAAAATGAAATAATTGTTGGATTTTAAAGAAACTTTCATGACATTAAAAAATGAATTACATTATTTTTTATCTTGTAGTTTTTTTTATTTTATTTGATGCCTTTTTTTTTTTTTCATTGTTACTGATATATTTGGAATAGTGAGGCTTTTTCTATACTGGGTTATTTTAAAATGTCGCACATTGGGCAGTAATTAAGACAAGAGAAACAAAGACAGTAATGGCGGCCATTCTGTTGGTGCGACACGCAAATGAGATCAAAATTATATTGTCGATAAATCATAAACGATTTTCTTCCGCAAACTTCTATCGAAATAATCATGCAAATTTTCATTACATTTGGTTTCCGGAGCTTAATTTTCCCTTTTATAGGGACCTCAAATTTTTTCATCCAAACAACGTATGTGTGTTTCTTATTTGTCTTTGTAAAAAATAAAATATACATTTTAATAAAAAAAATGTCCAATAATTGTGTAAAAAGTCAGGGATTTTACACAGAACGTTTATAATATGGATAATCTGTTATTTTAGTAAAAGAGAAAACATTCTTTCAATCAATTGAAATTAGTTTTGAATTATAGCAGAGTATTTTGCTGATTGGAAATCTCAAATTTAATCTTTTAGTTTGAAATTAAATAGGCGCCTCTGTTTTTTCGCGGGAAAACAGCATAGCGTAATGAAAAATGTCACAAACTTAACGAAAATAAAGTTTTATCGTCAAAATATTTATGTTATTATTAAGATGAAAGACCAAAGTATTTTTTAATTATTTAAAAAAAAATTAATACTTTCGAAATTTTGGTTAAAATCTTTTTTTGTTTACGTCATCGCGGTGACATGAAAATAACATTGTGGGGGTTTTTTGCGCTTTTTTTCCGTTGAAAACATTGATTTGGAAATTCTTGTAAAAAATAAAATAATTGTCCGATTTTAATGAAATTTTCAGGACTTATTCACAAATGAATAAAATTATTTTAAAAATTTTTTAGAAAATTTTGGTTTTTTTTAAAAATATGTTACCCCCACTTACTTAATTTCATGAAATTTTCGCAAAAACCTTTCTATTTCTGATTTTTTTTTTTTTTGTTAAAAGTTTTTTTTTTCTTTTGGAGATTGTAAATCCTTTTTTTTTTTTTTCAAATTTGAGCTAACTGAAAATCTGCTCTGAATTAAAAAATAATGAATCCAATAAAACTATGATATTACTTAATTAGAAAAGCTTTTAATTGCTTTTGTAAATAAGTAAAATTAATGACACTATTGTCTGTAGAAATAAAATTTTTCTGATGAATAATGAAGTTTTACAATAATTTTTTCATGTGTATTAGGCTATTTCCTTGATGTGATATAGTAATTAAGTGGAAACAAAATTTACAAATCCAAAATTGGAAAAAATTAATCAACTTAGTTTAGCTATTTTATTTTTAAAATAATTTTTTATTTTGTACTTTTTTTTACTTAATACGTTCATTATTTTCATGTACGGTAGACTGAAATTGCCATTATTATGATCTAAAATATTTGTCCCTTTATTATGTCGCTTCTGTTACGTTTCAACAGATTTTCAAAATTTCTATCCAACTTTAAAAGTTTAAAGCTTAAACCAAGTTTTACTTTTTTCAATTACTATTTCGCTAAATATTTTTATTTTATGTATTTACGTTAGTATGGGACTTACTTCAATTGAATAATCATGGTATTTTATTTGTTATTAAATTATAAAATTAATTGAAGAAAATTTTATAGTATTTTTATTTTTTTTTATTTTTGCATCTTAGAAAGGTTAATAAAAGTCAATAAAATATTAAATAATTGCGGAAAATATGTTCATTTGTAAAAATTACTAGGTAGTTAAAAACCAAAAATATGCGTTCACTTAGAATTTTGACAATTGGGGTCATCCATAGTAGCTGTCATCGCCTCGTCTATCAGCAATCCATCAAACGTTGGATCAGATGGACAGGACCAATCGTTAATAATTGGTTGTATTTCTTTATGCTATAAGTATATTTATTTCAAATTAATTTTACTAAAATAACGTGTCAGAAATATATATTTATTTTTTAAATGAATTTTAAAATAGAAAAACTTGTTTTGTTTACAAATTTCTTAGAATTAAGAAAATGGCCGCTTTTAAGAAATCGAAATTAAATTTGACATTCCAATCTATATAATTTCTATCAGAAATACACCAGAATATTTTACTTAATGGAAATAATAAATTTAATCATTTAGCTTTCAATTAAAGCTAATATGAAATATTCAAGAAAGATTTTTCATTTTTAAGATTTAATTTTAAACTTTACGTGTCGAAAATGTATGCTAAAAAGTGGAGGTCCCTAATTTTAAACCTAAGGTAAAATTTTGAGGTAAAAGTCCAGTAAATGTGTTCAAAAATGAGGGATCGATTTTGCCCTGTGTCGATCTGATTATAAAAGAAACGGGAAAAAGTCAATCATTTTCGGTATTTTTATGAATGGACCATTTTATTTAAGTAGTGCTTAATTTTTCTCGCTTCTTTTGGCCTTGTGCCATACTAGGCTATGATTAGCGAAGATAAAAATAAACTTATAAATTGGTAATAAAAAAATGTCTTCATTTTGTACGTGTCTTTTTCAAAGAAATTTAAAATATAATCGGATAAAATATTAAAATTTTAAAATATTACAATTGATGAAAAGAGAATGTTAAATGTAACTGTGGAGGCGGCAAATTAGAAAACCTCTCTCTATCTTTTACCCTTTCTTCCCTCCTCTTTCTCGCATTGCTCTTCTCTCCCTCTCTTTCTTCATTGATAACCACACTCTCCGTTCCCCACTCTCTCAATATTTTATCCAACCCCCACAAACACACACATCTCCTCCTCCTCTCCATTTATTTTAGAAGAAAACAATATTTTTTTATCCGGAAAGTGATTTTTTTTTTTTGTAAAATTTCAAAATTTCGGGTCATTTCGGTTTTATAAATGGACTTTTTTTTGTCTTTTTCTGATTTTGAACTTTGACCTTTTTTTTTTCTTTTCTCTCTTTTCAGATTGATTTTATCTTCAGAAGAAATTTTCAAAATGGCGTCCAATGTGAGTGAAGAGGGGACATTCCAATGCTCGAAATGCGACCAATTTTTGGATTTGTCATCGAAGACGTTGAGATGTCTTCATTCTTTCTGTGGGTCGTGCGTGGAGATGATTCTTGGAGGAAATCGACTGTGTCTCCAGTGTCTACAGCCTCTGACCGATGAAGAATTGAGACTGGCACCATTTTTAGTGAAGTCTTTGAGGTGCCGTCAGCTGGAATCCCAACAACTGAATTGTGATACGTGTTCAGAAGACATCATCGGAACGGCTGGCCAGAATTGGTGCCAAGACTGTCAGAAAATCTTGTGTCAGACCTGTGAGAGATTCCACAAGAGACTCCACCCCGGACACGGGACCAAAAACTTGTCAGGTTTGTCGAGGGTGGAGGTCATCCGGGTCATCACGACGGACGACTGTCGCCGGCACCGTAAATCCAAGGACGCCTTCTGCGAGCGGTGCAACGTGTGCCTTTGTGACGCATGTTACGAGGATCACGTGATTGACTCCCCACAGTGTTCACCTCGTTCGCTGTCGGTGAGGGAGGAGGCGTCGAAGGAGAAGAAGCGCGGCCCCACCTTGGAGCAGGAACTCCGAGAGTTCGAAATCCGCATCCGGGCAACGAACGAACGAACGAGGCGATCCATTGACCAACTGTCAACGGACTGCGATTCCGAATGCTCGAAACTCTGGCAGGATTTTGAGGCATTCGTGGAAGAGACACGGATCAAGTTGGGAGAGCTGTGCGACAATATGAGAGCGGCGGCGTCCGAATTGAAGAAAAAATGGCGCCTCATCCTCAGGGAGAGAGACGACCTTTTGGGGAAGGTAAAGATCTGGCAGCAAACCTTGCGCCATTTGTTGACGGACGACGCCGACGATGAGGACGTCGTTTGTGGATTGAGGTTGGTGGGAGCTGAGCTTTCTGCGCGGCTCCACCAATCCTTTGCTTCGCCCGAGAAAGTCCGTTGTGTCGTGACCTTTCCCAAATGGTGTCACGACTCCCTAGAGTCACTGAAGAAAGAAATGATCGAGTGGACAGTAGAGACATCCGGGCATTTGCAGTTAGAAGGAGAATGCCATCTTCACGGATCGAACCTGCACATTATTTCATCAATTGTTGCCGTCGACGAAGACAATCATGTCTTTGTTGGCGATTGGAACGGCGATTCGATCCAAGAATTCGATGAGTCTGGACAATTGGTCGGCCAATGTCGCTTAACGGACGGAGGAGAGGGATTCTGTCCCATGGATATTTGTCGCCTCTCTGAAGACATTTTGGTTGTTTGTGGTCGTGAGTTTTTGCGGCAGGTGGAAGGTGGAAAAAATATTTGGGGGTCGGGAAGACTTTTCTTTTTGGCGCGAAAGAAATGTCCGCCATTTTCAGAAATAAAAAAAATTATTGATACAAAAGAAAAGAAATTTTTTTCTTTATGTCAAATTCAAAAAAAAATTTTTGCTTGTGATTTGGATCTGAAAGAAATTGTTTATTTTTCTGAAAATGGAGATGAAATAAAAACAATCCACATTGGAGGATCGGGTCCTTATTATGCCCCCCTCCTTCGTGCAGATCCGACGACTGGGAATTTGTGGGGAACAAGACTTGGAACGTCGAAAATTTATGTTTGGAATCAAAATGGAGAAATTCTTCAGAAGTTGGAAATGGAAGAAAAAATTCGCGATTTTCGTGCAAATAAATTTGGATCTTTTTATTTTTCGACAAAAGAAGGAATTTTTTCTGTTTTGCCAAAAACATTTTTGTATAAATTTCCGAAAAAATCTGAAAATTGTCCGAAAATTTTTGTTTCCCGCCAAAAATTGTTTGTTTCTTTTCAAAACGATGGAAAACATTTATTAAAAATTTTCAAAATTAATTAATTTTTTTTTAAATTTTGATGTTTATTTTCTCTGTTTGCAAATAAAATTTATTTTATTTCAATTTATTTTTTGTTTTTGATGATTTGATAATATGAGGTGCGTTAAATAAACCCAGAAAAATGTTCAGTTTCGTAATACGAGTCGAGGCAAATAATGATGTGACTTTTTCCTTTTTTGGCCACCTTTGTCTCCGATCATCAATGGTTGACAGAAACTGTGAAAGCGAAACTGATTTCATTTTAAAATAAATAAATAGCAAATAAATCGATAATTATTGATTGACTCAAATGATTGGAATGTTTTTCATTGAAACCAAATTCGATGCATCGACTTTTTTAATTTATGCAATTTAAGCAAATAAAACTGATTTTTTTAAAACTTTTTCCATCAAAAAAATAATTTTTCGAAGAATATGAGACCAGAAAAATATTTTTTTGTTTTTTTTTTTTTTGGCAGTGGCGTGGGGAGGGGTTGTTAATTTTCTGAAATTTGTCTTTATTTTGTTTCAAGTCATTGACTGACATTAGTAAAGAACAATAAAAACAAGGAGGACTGGCGGTGGGCTGTGGGGGAGGGGGTAAAGAATTTGTAAAAGAGGAGAAAGTGTCGATTATTTTTAAGACGGAAATTCCAAGTAGGTTTTTGTTTCTATGAACACTTCCCAAATATTGCAGGGAAGGGAGGGGTTCGCCTATTCCGGAAGGTGGGGAAAAAGCAACGGAGAGAAAAGAAAATGGACTCATCACATCATCATCATCATCATCATTAATCTGATTAAAAATGAAAGAGAAAAAAATGTCGTCGTTGTGGTCGATTCGTCATCATCATCATCATTAAGCAATTAAGAAATTTCGATGAAATAAAATTACTGATAAAATACTTTCTTTATCACGGACTCCCAAAAGTGTCAGCTTCCTTTCCTCTCCCCGACCCCCAAGTGCCATCTTTCTTCCCTCCCTCCACACCTAAAAATGTCATCTTTCCTTCCTCTCCCCGACCCCCAAGTGTCATCATTCCTTCCTCCCTCCACTCCCAAGATGTTAGATTCCCTTCCTCTCCCCACCCTCAAAATATTTCATTTTCTCTCGATACTGCTTATTTTTGTTAAAAGACATCCAAGCTTTCCATTTTCCGATCTTTTCTATGTGCTGTGTCCCCTCAGAACGTATGTGACCATGGCTCTCCACAACTTCCTGTCCCTTACAGCTCTTAATAAACTTTGTCTTACTGTTATTTCTCCTGTTCCGCCCTCCCTTTACTCAAGTTCCCCAAAAATGTCATGCGCTGTTTCTCTTACCCTTTTTATCTGTCCCGTGAGGATCAGATTTTCCGAGCCCTCCGTCCTCATTATGCTCCCCTCCCACACACACACACCGAAATGTCAACTGTCTCTTCCTGATGTTAAGTATTAGTTTCCTTTTTCTTTGCATTTTACTCAAAACCTCATCGTTGCTCACATATTTCCCCCATCGTATCCTCAGTATCCTCCTGTAGAATCACATATCGCTTCATCTCCTCTTCATCTCCACTGCCATTGAGAAGGACAGATAGTCACGTAGCAGTTCGCCCCTCGTTTCCTTCTTTTTTTTTAAAGAATCTTTTCCTTTTCTTCTTCCTCAGCTTAGATTCCTTGAATGCTAATTAAAATTCACTGCTAGTTTTGCTGGACATTTTCAAGGCCTTTAAGACGACTTTTCCGACAGATTCGAATTCATGCCCCCCCACCCCCGCCCCGGTTTTTCTTTTTGTATAATTTCGTTTCTTTAAGGAATAATTTGCCCACTCAGTCGTGCCATTTTTCAGAAGGCATTCGTTGGGCGTGGCTTATGTCATAAAGGAAGAGATTAACACCGACCGTCAAAATTCAGGTTTAGATTCATTGCATTAATGCCCTTGGCACAAAAGTCATCAATTCATCTCACCCCCCCCTCTCTTCCCCACTCCGCGTATGGGGCTTTGTCTCACGGGGTTTCAAAATATTATTTATAGGTGGAGTGTTAGAATAATGGAAAGTTGCGATTCAACAACCAATTTAGAATTAAACATTGGTGGCTTGAGTTCAGATTTTGGTTCACTGTATTAATTCTCTTGGGACAAAAAGGCAGGAATCTATCTCCCCTCCCCCCACTCAGAATATGGGACTTTGATTTGGGGAATTTCAAAATAAATACATAAAATAAAAAGTATTTAGTGAAATAACAATTAAGAAAAGTAAAACATTTTGATATTATGAAAGGATGATTTGCAAAGACGTTAATAATGAAACAGAACTGAATTAAAAGTTAAATCACGTCACTTAAATCACGTCACTTAAATCACGCGACCTTTATAAGGATTATGTCATGTATAGATTCCCATAGGTAGAAATTAGGAACGTTTTTCACTAAAAATTATTGTTAAAATATTCAGGTTCATACGACTGTTATGAGCTTTTCAAATTTCGATTTATAAATTTACTTTTCATTTAACGATATCATCAAATTACATTCTTGAAAGCAATTATGAATTTTAAACGATTTTTGAACTATTAAATTATTATGATTAAAATTGTTAAAAAATGAAAAAATTCTTGTAAAAATTCATTATTATTCGAAAAAATTTTATTTCTTCAGACAATAATTTCCTTAATATAACTTATTTACAAAAGCAATTAAAAGCTTTTTTAATTAAATAACGTCATAGTTATATTGCTTTAGAATTCAGAGCAGATTTTCGATGAAACAGGTAACTGCTTTACAAAAAAAAATTGGTGATTTACTTTCTCCAAAGAGTCCTGTTTTTAACTAATAAAAATCCCACACCTAAAAATTTAATTTCTAAAATTTCATGAAATTATGTAAGTGGGTGGTAACGTATGTAAAAAAAATATATATATATATTATTAAGATTTTCTAAAAATAAAAATTTCGAGAACAATTTAATTCCTGAAAGTTTCATTAAAATCCGACAATTATTTGAGTTTTGCAAGAATTTCCAAATCAATGTGTGTTTTCCTCGGAAAAAGCGCAAAATAAAACAAACATTTTTTTCTCTAGTTCACCGGTGTCGTAAAAAAAACAAAAAAAAAAAAAAAAATTTTTAACCAAAATTTCGAACGAGCGAGGCAGGAGTAAAAAAACTTCAAAAGATAATTAAGAAAATACTTTGGTATTTCCTCTTAATAATAACATAAACATTTGGATGACAAAACTTTGTTTTCGTTGAGTTATGGGCCTTTTTTAAATATGCTCTGCTGTTTTTTACGCGACCTCGTGGAGATACCTACCTTAAGGTGTCACATCTCTTTCGGTATAGCTATCGAGCTATCTCTTCAACCCTTAAGATGTCAGAAAACGACATAATCAGAAAATAAGAGCGATGACGATAGTAAATTTCAATTCAACGTTCGTAAAAATAGATTACGGAGAACATTTTCCAAGATTTTTAAGATTACTGAATACTTAAAAATTATATAAAAAAGCGTTCACCCGTCATTTTCTTAAATCATGTTTTAATAGATAATGTCTCCTTAGATCAATAATGAAAGTGTCAACACCTCGTCAAGTGATTTACCAGATGTTGACACGCTACTGTTTGTTTTTAAAATCCATTTCTGTTATTTTAAACTTAAAATAGATAGTTTTTTTTTTTTCAAATCAGATTAACTAAACTTGAAATCAGCTTCTATTTCTCAAATAAAGTATCAGAAAAATATATTTTATTTTTGGAAGATTTTTAAAACCGAGAATTAAATTAAAATTAAAAATTAATGTATATAAATCTGGCGAAAATGGCTGAATTTAAACGATTTCTGAAAGCAAAGTGTTTGTTTATTTTAAAAAAGACAGAAAAAATTAATTGAAAATTTTTAAAATTAATCAAATAAAAACCTTTAAAAATTTTGAAATAATTTATTAATTCATGCACATAAAAAATTTAAATAGATAAAATTTATTGTTACTGTTGATTTTTTTTCCTTAAAACTTCAATTTTTCGTCTGATAACAATATGAAGCCAGTCAAATAAATGTAGGATTATTTTCTTTTCTTTATCTTCGTATTTCTTTGTCTTTCACGTGTTTTTTTCTTCTTTGTGGGAGTCGGGGAGGACCGTTATTTTATTGAAATTTGCCTTTTTGTTATTCGCTGCCTCAAGAGAGATTTTTTTAAAGATATTTTCAGGCTGACATTGACAAGGAACCGATGACAATAAAAGACAAAACGCAGACGGGGTGATAAAATCTGTGGATAAAAAATTCCAACAAGAATTAAATTCTTTAGGATTTTAGAGGAAAACTCGAAGATTGATTCCAATGAAGGATTTACCAAAAATGATATCGGTAATGAAAACCGAGTTCACATCACTTCTGTGACGTTCATTTATTCACTGTGCCCTAGGCATGAATCTATCTCGTCCCTGCAGAAGTAAAATAGCAGGGTAAACTAGACTCTCTAGCTTTGAATAACAACAACGTCACCTCGAAAATGTCATGGCTATTTCACAGGGATTGCAGTAGACGGGTTGGGTGGAATTAACGGGGGCGACCCGATTATTCCGGACGGGAGATGATGTTCGGAAGGGGCAAAAACCACAGGAAAAAATGGACTCGTAATATCATCATTGATGAAAAAATATCACTGATAAAATAATTTCTCCACCTCCAATACCATCCAAATTTAAACTCCACTGCCCCCTCCCTTTGCACGATTTTCATCTTTTCTTTTTTTTCTCTCTCTCTCTCTCTCTCTCTCTCTCTCTCTCTCTCTCTCTCTCTCTCTCGCTCGCTCTCTGTGTGCCTTTTCCATTTTTTTTTTGTTATTGGAAACTCATTATTTGTTTTTTATATATGAAGGAAAGAAAGCAAATAAAAAAATAAACTCAAAATACTGTAAGGGAGACAACTCTGATAAAATATTTTGGTTATTCGCCCTTATATTGATTCGTTAAGGAGCTCAGAGACTTCAGATCCATCTCCAATTTCCTTTTCATATATATATATATATATATATATATATATATATATATATATATTATTTATTTATTTATTTAAAAGAAAAACAGACCATTTTAAGGTACCATTACAATAATTTATTTCACCAGTCTTTTTTTAAAGGACGCCGGATCATCAGATAGAACTTCCAACAACGAAATAAAACGAAAAATGAGATTAAAATTGATGGGTAGTGTAAGTTTTTGTAATTTAACAGGGGGTGTGAGAGGGATAGGTAAAGAGGATGGGAGAGTATAGGGAGGGTTAATTTCATATCTCTCTTAAGTGTACTTTATATTGGGGTAGGAGGAGTGACCAGACCATGACCTATTTAGATGGTTAACTTAACGGAAATGATATATAGAAATGGGAGGGTAGGGAGAAAAGAAAAAAAAAAAAAAAAAAGAGGAGACAGAAAACAGTAATACAGATATATAGAAATGAGTGTTACAGCAAGGAGAGAGAGGAAGAGGGAAATCAATCGAAAAAAGCTGTAATTGGATTTAACAATTCCAATGCTTGATAGAAATTTAGATGTCTAAAAAAATTGATGATTGTTATCAATTTAAATATTTAATTTTACAAGCAAATAGTTTAGGGGCTTAATATAAGTTAACTACTATTTTTATTAACACATTTATAGAGAATATATTAAAGAAATATTTTAAATTATAATAGTTTATTTAGCCGACCAATCTTACTTCCTTAATATTGTAAAAAAAAAAAAAAATAACATCTATATTAGTTTTATTTTAATTTGATTTATGAATGCAATTTTTCTTTATTATTTAGTTAAAATTCCTTTATATATATATATATATTTCACATGTTCATATATTATATATATATATATATATATATATATATATATATATACATGACAAAATATAAGAATATATAAAATTATATATATATATATATATATATATATATATATAATATATATATATATATATATATATATATATATATATATATATATATATATATATATATATATATATATATATATATATATAAATATATATATATATAAATTTCTTAAATATATATATATATGATTAAAAAATCCGACGTGTTTCGTCGTAGATTCCTCAGGTCTCCCAGAATTTATTGTTTTAAAAAAAACATTTATTTCG